TTCTTGAAGACTGGGATGATCAGTGACTTAGACCAGTCGGAGGGGATCGTATTTGATTCCCATATACTGGCTAACACTTCCGTTAGCCTGACTAAGAGAACTCTACCACCATTCTTGTATACCTCAGCAGGTAGTCCGTCTGGTCCTGCTGCCCTTCCTCGTTTCAGGCTACCTACCGCTTTCTCAACTTCTTCTAGTGTTGGGGGACCTGTCTCTATGTCCCATTCAGGGTCCGACTGGATAGCGGGCAGCGCAATGGTGGCTGGAGGCCAGTTAAACTGTTCCTCGAAGTGTTCTGCCCATCGTCCCAGTCGCCTCCCCTGCGAGTGAATCGCCGATCCGTCCTTCTCCGCTATAACCTCACTAACTGTTGTTGACCATTTCCCCCAGTCTCCTTAATAAGTCTAAATAACTGTCTACTGTTACCGATCGCCGCTGCCTTTTCCATCTCTTTAGCCTTTGCTGCCCACCACTGTTCACGATCGTTGCGCAGACTTTTCGTCAGTTTATTTTTAAGTTGCGCTCGCTCTTCATTGTACTCAGAGCCTGCAGGGATGCATTCACGTGCATCCATTAGTTTGGAAGAAGCTGCTGATATCCACTGGCTCTTTTTAGCCATTATCTTGGAGTCGGCTACAGTCTCCAGTGCTGCTTTTACAGTAGACTGAAGATGGCACCAAGCTTCTTCTGGATGAGTGACAGTCTTTTGTTCCGATAACTGCCTAGCCAACTTCTCACTGAACACGGCTTTGGTGTTTTCGTTGTCCAGCAGAACTCGTAGTGGTTTTGTTGCCAAATTTTTTCTACGTCCATTGAGACGCAGGCATATACGTGCTCGGACCAACGCATGATCGCTGTCCAAACACGTACTCCAGAAGGAGCGGCAGTCTTCCACCGATCCTCTCCAGCGATGACTAATAGCAATGTGGTCTATCTGTGTCCATCGCTGAGTCGAGCTCGGTGGACGCCAGGTCAGACAGTGCCTTTCTTTATGTCTGAAATTTGTGCTGGCTAAAAATAGGCGGTTATCTGAGCATAGTTGTAATAGGCGATCACCGTTATCTGTACGTTCAGCTGGGATTCCGAAAGTGCCACCTAAGTGCCTTTCTGCCTCACTCAGTCTACCCACCTGTGCGTTGAGGTCACCTGCAACAACCACGTCCGAACGTTTGGCTTTCGAGAGGAGGTTAGACAGTTTATGGTAGAACTCGTCCTTCACTTCATCCGAACTGTCAGTGGGTGCGTAAGCAGAGATTACAAAGAGACAACGGCGAGTCTCACTATTCCTTTTAGTTCTCACTGTGCCGTTCAGCCTCATAGCGCAGAGGCGACTATCAACTGGGATCCAGTCTAGTAGTGAGTTTTCTGCCCTGGTGCTTAATGCTATACCTACACCTGCAAGACCACGAGAGCTAGCTATCGAATCTCCAGAAACTCGAAGGGTGAATTTTGCAGATTCACCAGATTGGTCAGGAGAGGTCAGGTGAATAACCACACTTGGGTCCTGTATGCGTGTCTCACACCCCGAGTTGCTAGAGTCTTTGCCAACGAAGCCTGTTGGCCAATTTGACGGAGGGTGCGGACATTGAAGGCTCCAATATGTAATTTGGAGCGTGGTTTAAGGAGACCAGGGATGCTGTTCTGTGGACTCAGATCGTTGTCGAAGGCTGCAGAGGTAGGAGAAATTGAAGATGATGCAGCATCATTAATTAAGAGACGTGAAGGAAGATTAGAAGGTAATGATGGAGGAGGAGGATAGCAGTCAGAAGAAACTTGGGTGCTGACAGAGTTGTGAGGGCGGTTGACACTTCCCGGCTGCCCACACCGTGGAAGGCTATTTCTTCTTAAGGTACCTGAAAGAGATTTGTGTGACCGCAGAGCCCATCGGACATCTGCTTGAGGCCTGTCACACCCAGCCTTTTGAGTATGATTATTTTGAACTTTTGTATTTTTGGGGCCGGATGGTCGAAAGGAAACGACAAGTGAACCAACACCGCCGGCCCGGCAGACCGTGGGGCGTGGTGGAGTGTGTTATTTTTGGGGCCGACCTTTTCCTTCCACTGAGAAGGCAGCATCAGCATGGCACTGCTGGTCATCCAAGGGAAACACCTTACTGCTGTCACACCCCATCCAGCTAGCAGCAGTACGACTTCGCCCTCAGACCCCCATCATAGTATAGCAATTTACACTATAACGGTAACGGTAACTGCTTTTCGTCTAACCACTACCCAACAGACCTTTCTGGTATGGTAGGACCTCGAGGGAACAAGCGTTCCACCAGCATAGCTCGTTGGGTCATTGTGATATGCAAGCCCGACCACCACGTCAAGGTAGCAGCTATCGGTCGGGGGTAGAGTCTCAGTGAGAAGAAAAAGTCAATTCATGAGGTTGTAAACCCTCATTGACCCAAGTTGTTGGAATATACGCTACACACGCCTAGTCACTGTCTGCCTCGTTGGACATTGTTGGCTGAGATAAATTTAGGTTGGAGAAAGGTTAGAAGTGCCTATACTAAAAAGTGGCATCAGTTCATGAAGTCCTCGACTATTAGTCTGAACTGTGTAGGGAGACGTGGACTTCTCGTTGAAGTCCACGTGACAATCAAAATAGGTGGTGGGAAAATCTAGGTGTAATAGCTCAGAATCGATTTCAGTGGTGCAGACGTATTCATACGTTCCATGCATCCAAGTCAACATAGGACTAGGCATTACTGCGTAATAGTCCGAGTTGCCACAGCTTATATCACTACATCAAGTAAGAAGTCAGTGAAGTGGGAGATGAAGAAAAAGAAATTCAGTCAAAAGAAATATAAAGTACTAAAAGAGAGAAAGGAGGGATGAGAAAATGATGAGATTCGGGATAACGTTAAGATGAGGATAATGTGTATATATATCCGCACCAGTGACGTCGGCTTTGAACCATATCGCCTAGAACCTCCGACCACTGGTATCCATGCATTGCCTTCATTTTAATCGTTATACCAACTTCTATTGTCTCATTCTTCTTGCTCTCGTTCATGACTTCATACCACTTTGACCACTTTCTTCCTCATTTCTCTGTTTCATCTCTATGCATTAACCTGATGTGCTGATATGAAGTGTGGCAACACGGAGTGTTACACATTAGTGCTACGTCCCATATCGATCCTTAGTTATTGAGAAATGCGTAACCATATCATAAGACGAAGCTTCAAAACTCTATCGACTCACTCACTCACAACCTGATGCTTAACAATCAACTTTCCCATCAACTACAGAAAACCTACTTCATGCAAACGGTACTGCGAAGACAGTGACAATCAAAAATAAGTAGTCCTTGCAAATCACACAACTAACAATACTCATAAAAATAACATTAAAACAGAATGCACTACCGAGTTTAGTCGAATAACTAACAGTGACGATAAGAGATATATTTAGACAAAGTCAGTTAAAACTTGGCAAATCTTCACTGGCCACCAGCTCGCCAAAGCTGTCGTGATAATTTAGGAAAGTAACGCGGAAAGCATTCGAACCCATGTCACTTAATACACTACCTAGGTGGAATGCGTCGATTACTTCACGAAGGGTAATAGGCAAAACAAGCAAGTCGATTGATGAGGGTGTGAACTATGGTCGACTGAGATGGTTGCGACATGTACTCCACATGACAAGTCACCTCCTACCTTGACGTATCATGCTACAGGAAACTGGATTAGATTGGAAGAGAGTTCAGGGTGGCCGAACCAATAAGTGGTACCAGTCCATGAAATCCCTAACCGTTAGTCTGAACCGTGTTGAGAGGTGTAGACACCTGGCTGAGATCCCTCGAGACTATTGGAATCACTGGTTGCGGAATTTTGATGATATAGCGGAAAATCAGTCACAGTAGGGCAGATGTATTCACTCTTTGATGTCTTTTAAAGCTCGAATATTCGTACTAACCTTTATCTTCAGATTGTTCATTCTCTTAAAATACTTTGTCTACTTTGATATCATTTTTTTTGTGAAGTGTGGCAACTTGAACCAATGGACTTAGGTGCGAGGTTTTACGTTGATTTTACATCTTTATCTCCCTGTCTGTCATCCCAACTACCACTGTAAGCCTGGTACGGCAATCTGGTTCTTCTTGTTAGTTGACTTAAGCTACATCTGCGGCAACGCTTATTCCTGCTAAGTATTCATAGACAAATGAAGTCTAATGCCGTCACACAAAAAAGCAGTTTCGAAAAGAAACTTAGATAACAGTGGGACATAGCAAATAGAATGCAGGTACGAAAATATTTAGTACCAACTCCAAAAAAATTTGCCAGTCACTCATCCCGACGGTTTTCTCAGATTTTAAATGATAACTAATTTATATGAAGATTTATAGGAAACATTTCACAAAATATAGGTTGTACACTACCCAAGATTTTGATAGTTCTAAGCCATACACTTAAAAACTTTATGACCAGTACCGTCATACATTTTTAAGATAACTCATCGAGCGCTTAAATTTGACCAACATCATGTATATACCGGCTAAACAGCAGGTGACCTCAAACACAAGTAGATACCAGTTGGAGAACCACTGAAAAACTGGGAGCACTGGACAGTCGTTTAGTCCTAGGACGAGACTCCTCAGCAGTACGCACCCACGACCCAGCCAGGACCGAACTCAGGACCTTCAGGTTTCACGGCGAACGCGTTAACAATTCACCCACTGAGTCAGAGTTTAATAGTCCACAGTTTCCTGTTTCTATCAACTCGCGGTATAGCCTGACTATCACCTAAGGTCTTCAGTTGGCATCTGCTTCACTGGTTGACCCCAAAGGTCACGGCTTCTCATTAGAACTTCGGGATATCCATGTCGAAGCATGTCACTAGCGAGCAGCAAAGTAGTTTGAGGTTTATGGGGATTTTATGTCCCAAGTAGCACTCATCATGGACCGGCATCAGTTGAAGAATAAGACCTTAAACATAAAAGCACCATTAACCTCAAAATACACAAGTAGATATATTTGGACAGAAAAAACTTACGACGAACAGGATCACGTCGAAAACTTCTTGAGCTTTGAGTACTAACAGGCTCCACTTTTTGCTGAAAAATATCCACATCTTTTGGCAAATGAATTAGTCCACCATGCTTTTCCAGTGTATCTCCTGATTTCGTTTTATCTATCATACAGTTGCTTGACGAACTTGCATCTTGAAAACCCGCACCTGAAGTGGGAATCATCTGCTGGGATTTGGAATAAATATTGCATGGAACAGTCGCAGCTTCACTACAATGAACTGTCGGTTTGGTCGCAGGACTTGTGCAGATATCATTGGGATCCGACCTTGATTCCGGGGCGTATCTTCCAGTAACCGAACGATGTGCACCTCCTTGCTGATCATAGCGCTTGTACTTGTTTCTGCCATCATCAGTTTTTCTATAGTAGTAGCTAGAACTAAATGCAGCATTTCTATCTTTAGAGTAACCGCGTGATTGTGTTGAAGTAACTGTGTCATTTCGATAGTTCCCACAGTCATGAAAATTTCCATCACCTTCATCAATCTTTCTATATCGCGGATGGCGATAGAAATCTCTGTCTGGTTTCTTGTTTTTTGTATAATTAGACATCAGACGCTTGGAGTTCACAGGGGTATTAGTAGCGCAATGAATAACTTTTGCGCTTGGTTCAAGATCAATCAATCTTCAATCCTAAAAAGAATACAGAAGGTGGTTTGTATTGACACTGGAAGTAGATGTCTCCGCACATAATCATTATATCCTTAAAAATATTCGCAGAAGTATCTGTTAACATTAGATTTCTTCATAAACGTGAGTTCTTCACCGACCTTTGAGAAAACTTCAGTTTCGCTCAAGCTTTGAACTTCGTTTTCTGAAATAAAGAGGGATGAATTACTGAGTTAAGCATCTGTGTTGCTGAAAGATTTGTCTAAAACTGTTACAGAGTTGAAAAAACCTTAGTGTAGAACAGAGTACTGAAGACTAACTTCTCGCACAATATCCTGCTTAACTACCTTAATACGACCGAAACTTCCGTTCGTTCGACATCCAAGTAACTTTAAGGACCACATACCGAATCCACTTCAAGAGCGCCAATCCGTTTCGTCTAGATATGTCAAAAAAGACGACAAGTGAAGGTTAAGCTGATCTTCAGGCGTCATAGTGAGTGGCGCAGGTTCTAGTTTTTACACGTTACCTGGTAAGAAAGTCTTTCATTGTGAACAAGTAGGCGCCGAGTAGGGTTTCTTTAGGCGTTCCCGATTCGGATCCTATCGGGTGCACAACACTACTGTAGATAAATGTGCGATACTGAGATGGTGGGTGAACCATAACTTTGTATGACATAAGTTTTGCCTCGGCTGTGAATGTTTCTGCGTAGAAGATCCCTGGATCTTCTACTTTAGAGGACAACCGACTGTGCACGCTCCTTAAAAGTCAAACTCCCAGACCAAGTGATGTCGAGGTCTTCCGCAGAGTTGAACACTTTCAGGCGAGTGTCACCCAGGTGTGGGTCGCATCTGTGTAGTAGTTGTTGAAATGGAAGATGCCACTTTTATTAGGGTTTTAATGGAGCTACCAGGCCACAATCCATGCGAATTATCACTACTGGCTGTCTTGAATTTGTGAGGGGCTTTCTGTTAGTGCTGCTCAAGGAAAACTGTGTGTTATCCTCAAATCGTCTGCGGAGAGATGATGTGTGCGGAATCTGATAACGCTGTATGTATCGTTTACATATAGTATGGATAATATTGGTCCTAGTGCACTACCCCGGAAGACACCCTTTTTAAATGGGTCTAATAAAGGGGCAGCAGTCACTGAATTTCACCACTTGAAGGCTATCTTCCAAGAAGGGTCTGAACTAGGATAGTAGCAGGTCTTCAGAACTATGCGACTTCAACTAGGCAACTAAGCGTTTATGTGGCACCTTGTGGAGGGTTTACTCAAGGCCAAAGAAAAGACTGTTTACAGATGGGCCGCAGTCGTGCCTGTAGCATTGTCTAAATAGTCGGGAAGGCAGGTAGCACGTGAGCTGCTTCTCAAGAAACCGTTTTGTGCTGAAGAAAGTAAACGACGAGTCGTCATGTATTCGACGACTTCCCTCACAATCACCTTTACCATAATTCTAGATACCGCTGACGTGGTGGCTGTAGCCTAGTAGTCTTCAGTGTTAGGTTTTGGTCCATGTTTATGTTTAGGAGATATATATGACGATATCCGGCTCGCTGGGTAGTTGCCACCAGAAGGCTTCAATGGGTTAGAGGTATGTATTTGCCACCGCTTTCCAGCAAGATGGTTGAGACTCTATCAGATCCTGCACCGTATGAAGCTGAAAGCGACGTGATTGCAAGCGAAACGTTTTGTTGAGTGAAGAGCACACTACTTATAGAGGAGTTTGGTAGCGACGGTTCATCAATGAATTCAGCCATTTCCACGCGTGTAAACAGTGAGCAAAATGATGGCCAAGAAGCCCGTAAATTTGAAGCTTGTTTTTGTAGAGGTGTCCATTATCCGGGAATACATTAGGGGCATTTCGTCTAGAACTTCTTATCCGGGACTTCACCCCTTTTAATAATGCTTTAGTACTGCCGAGTTTAATGTAGCGAATGCGTTCCTGGTTAAGAACACCTAATCGCCTATCCGCATAAAATATCCTACATAGTTGTGGGCATGATAGATGACGAAAAATCATTTGACCTACAGAAACTGACCGGCATGATCGCGGGTGCAGTTGCGTACCGGCGCAGAGATAGGGTCAATTTTGTGTTTATTCTTCTCTTTTGACAGTACTGGAGTAGCTAAGTCGTGAGCGTTTTTACTAATACTCGGAGAAGAGATAACAGAATTCTTTGGTTGGGCTGCTGATAAAATAAGGAATCCAGAGGGCTCGGAAACTCTTGTGTTCTTTCCACTGGGCATATTTGTAGCTCCTGGACGGAACCATCCTTGTGTTGTGGGCTGAGATGACGCCGATATATTGAGGTTAACAAACACTACTTTGTTATCCATACCTGAGAATTATGCACTTCGAGCTCGGTCTGAGTGATTCCGCCAATAGCGGCTAGGTCCAAAGCTCTGTGATACCCGGTAGGGTGCCTTGCACGTTATTTCCAACCCTGTGCTTTCAAAGTGAATGAAGTATTTTCAAAGTTTTCTGGTCTGCTGATCGGTTGCCACTTTGTATCTGATGTGTTGAAGCCACAGCATGTAGTTATTGCCGTGTATGGTAATGATGCCACATGAGCGAACACGTCTGTCGGAATCTTGTCGTAATCCATTGGGGAACAGATGCTCAGTAGGTGCATAGATAAATATTTAACTTGGAAGTAGTATTCATCATGGACTGACGTCGGTTGGAGAACCATTGGAAATCTGGGAGCACTGGACAGGTGTTTCGTCCCAGTATGGGACTCCTCAGCAGTGCGCACCCATGACCCGGCTGGGGATCGAACTGGGACGAAACAGCTGTACAGTGCCCCCGGATTTCCAATGGTTCCCCGACTGGCGTCAGCCCATGATGGATACTACTTCGAAATTGAAAAACTCACCATTCATCTCAAAATAAATATTTTATTCTCGCACTAGTATTGGACATGAGAAGACAGCTTACAGGCATCATCACACTGATATATACCGGTAGATGTACGAGATTTTACGGGACCTGAATGATACGGAAGGGAAGTCATTAAATTTGATTAAAAACAAGGTTACACAGGTTATGAAATGAACAAGAAATGCCACTTTTCAGCATGTACAGAGTGTTAGAGATTAGACCGTCTTCAGTCATACTTTCTTTTTTCAATATTAGTGCCGCCAAGCTGGCACAAAATTCCGAATTTACGTTTCAGACAGTTGACATGCTTGATTCGTCTTCGCAATGCGTCTCTACGCAAGATAAACGTCTATTTCCCATTAGTTCTTATACTTATAGCCTCGGGTACTTCACTCCCCATGGGAGACAGATAGAATGTGGAATTTTTGCGTTAACCGGCGGTGTCTCAGTAACTTACTGGGTTTCGAGGTTGAACGTTGTGCATTTGGGGCCTCAGATATAATATGGATGGTGCATCCTCCTGCTTTACCATGTGGTCTGTTGCATCTAATCATCCCTTTCCTGGAAGAGTGCTGAACCTCTCGTCAGCTTACAACCTCTCCTCTAGTTCTGCATGTCCTGAACTTAAAGCCAGATAAGGAAGCACTTCATCTGTCTTCCAAAAGTTGAAATTATATAGACCTGTCCAGAACTCAGGGTGGCGAGAAGTCACACACCACCACCCATTCATTGAGGAATATTTATTAGCTAGCAAGGAAAGTCGCTTCGATTGCGTAACTCACGGCTGCCTTGAAGATAAATGACGCCTAGGATCTGTTATTATTCAGCCTGTTGATTGTTTGCGTTACATTACAGCCTTTTAACAGCTTTAACATTTTTTGCTTGCTTTTCTGAGAATAAAACCGAGTGTCAGCAGCTCCCATAGAAAGAATAGTATCAGTGCCAGGAGATTAAGTTTTTCTGATCCATCACCCAACGTCCAAAGTTCCCCCGACAATTATATTCCGTCACCAAAGTTACCCATTCTCATGACCGATGCCTACGACATTGTCAATAATTCTAAGTCGGATATTCTGGGAATCTCGAAAGCAGCTCGGAATATTCAGATGGAAGATAGCCTGCCGTTGATGTTTGTCGGACCACAAAAAGCTCCCCGCCTGAAAATCTGATAAAATACGGGGGGATGGTCGACTTCGTAGCCAGTAAATTGGGCAATCGGATGCCATACTTCTTTAATTCAATAGTCTACAATATTCCTGACAACTTGCCACCAGAATGGGTCAAAAGTCCATGTATTTACGAGTATGTAGTGTAACGGAAAAATGATCCGAAAATCCTCCCTGATCACCCTATTTGATGGTATTGAAATTTGTTTGAATATTCTCACCCTCGTTATGGATGGCGTGCCTTTGACTCCAGCCGGTGTAATGTTATTTGGTTGTTTGACTGTCTTCCTTGACTTTGCACTCAGCATTTCCCTTGTATGATTGAGACTTACCATGAATGCTCCACTTTCCCATTGTGTGATGCTGGACTATTGACAGCGTGACGTTGTTTTACTGCGCCAGAAATTTTGTTTTGATTCAACTTACGGTTGTGCTGTGATTTGGCTGCTCGTCTTTTGGCTACCTACTGGAAACGTTTATTTGTTGACTTCCAGTATGTGTTTGCTCCCTAGGACGCTTGGATGTATGGTTACCGAACGGCATTGTTGAAGCACTTTTGTATTTTGATATAGCTTATTGTTGCTTTGATAGTACCACAGATTTTGTTACGAATCTACCACCGATTTACTACAAACCGTGTTTTGATATTTCGATCCAACCTTCGACTGTGCGTCACTCGTGGAAGTTCGGAAGCTACACAGTAGGAGGCAGGAACTGGTCAGATTCGCGTTAGCTGGCACCGCCTAATTATTTCCCGAGTTCAGGCCGAGATAATTGGATTTTGGCCGTTACATGTGGTCCGATTGAGTGTGCCCGTAGGGTTCGTCACCCACGGAAATGAGCAAGCAGGCTCCATCTCCCGTCCTATTTTGGTTTTATTGACTGTGCAGCGC